GTTGTTGGTAAATTTTTCCAAAGGGAGTCGTCATTTTTGAAAAAAAATGTTTTTTACGGGTCGAAATACTCCAATTTATAACTGACACATCAACTTTCTCGGTGAGTTGAGGATGAATTTTATCGTGAAATTATTATAGTTTTGTTAATCCTTCAAACTGATATAACTCAGAAACAGCAAAGCCCATTTTCAAAAATGAATGAAAGTTGGATAGAGAATTGAATAACATATCCAACGAGCCATTATGAGTTGCCCATTTCTATTAAGAAAAGTTCGTAGCTGAATCTCGGCTCTGAAACTGAGGTATATTTTTAGGCAAAATATGTTTAAAGCCAATTTTGAACGAAAAAAATGAGTTTTCTTTCTTAGGACTGGGACTTTTCAGCCCATGTGTTAGATGTTTCAGGTAATTATTGTGCTGCGGAAGCTACTGCATTGGAAATTTCGTAAGGCACATTTCCAATCTCACTATCACATCTGCTTTGCATAGTTTATTGCAATGATTGCGAACAAAAACTATGTCAACTTTCAAAAATCAAAATGTCATGTTAGACAACTGTCAGTCGTTGCTTCGCTGCTTTATTTATTTACGGCAATGCCTATTTTTTACAAAATAATTAACAAGTTCACACATATGTATTCAACAGTAATCTATCTAAGCTAGATTTAAGGAAAAAATATATAAAATAAAATGAAAAAAATCGTAAAAATAAATGCAATCTTTTCACAGTCTTTTTAAATGTTTCCAAAGAAGAACTAAAAAATTCTAAATACATATTCATTCCGGCCATAGTTGGTGCGACAAAAGGTTACTTATAAGATTTCCGAATTTCTTATTCTTCTTGGATTCACATTTGAAGTTATAAGTTCGACAAGTTCCGGGGAATTGACGCTATCATTAATTATTTTATGAATTAGTGTAAGATCTGATTCTAATCTTCTATGAGCCAGAGTATTCAAGTTAAAAATGTCCAATATAATTTTATAGTCATATTCACCAATATGATATACCAGTTTATATGCAGAGTACCTTAAAAACTTATTTTGAACACTTTCAAGCATATCAATATCTTTGTTTCTTCTTTTTAAATGTTTCCAAAGAAGAATTAAAAAATTCTAAATCTACATTGTATGTATTTGCAAGTCTCAAAATTCTACCTACATATTCATTCCGGCCATAGTTGGTGCGACAAAAGGGTACTTTGAAGATTTCCGAATTTCTTGTTCTCCTTGGATTCACATTTGAAGTTATAAGTTCGACAAGTTCCGGGAATTGATGCTATCAATAATTATTTTATGAATTAGTGTAAGATCTGATTCTAATCTTCTATGAGCCAGAGTATTCAGGTTAAAAATATCCTGTTGAACCCAGTTTGTTTTTCCATACCAATTGACCTACAATATTCATCTCATATCTGGGCAATCAATACAAAAAAGCAATTCTTAAAAGTAGATCAACTGCACTACCAGATAATGATCAGGCTTGATTTCCAAATATTGTAAATAATTTCATGACGAAGCAAATTTTCAATGATCATCAACTAATTACTTGATCACATCGTATATTTTGTACCTAAATTTTGAATTTCAATGGTAGAATCCGGGAAATATAGCTGCCAAGGCACAAACGGTGAACTGTTAAAAACTCCTGAATGGATCTATTCAAAAATGAAATATCTTATAATGTTGAATTCATAATTAGAAAGATTAGGAAGTGGAAGCATTTGCATAATTTCAGCTACCAATTAATGTGGAAAAACGATTACTTGGCCACCTTTGCTGAATGCAAATACCATTCAGTTTTACAATGAAGTTGTCTGAAAAAGGTGAATTCATGAATAGGTTCAAAGCACTAATTTATTTCTTCATACTCAGGGGTTGCATGATATGAAATACATTTTCCGAGAAGCTTGTATTATCACCGGCATAGTTGAGAAAACTCAATAATAATATAGGACATGTTTTCTTTATTTGCTGTCTGGAATGTTAGGTAGCCTTTAAAACCATTTATTTTGAGTGATTTATTTTTGTACGCCTTTTGCAAATGGATAATAGTGCGACATTTTTTCTGTAAATGATCCTAATTGAACATGCTTATTCATTTCAATGTGAACTCATTCATTTTATTTTCACATGTATTATAATTTCACAAACTACACCGAAAACTATTTGACCTTGAAAAACTATGTTTCCATTGTTGGTTATTCACTACGTAAAATCTACTGTGATAGCAAAACATGTCATGAAATTTTTGAAAATAAAGTTTGTGAGGATCATATAATTTCCGGTGCAATTTGAGAAAAAATCATGTACCAAGGTAACAGCCGAGTCAATCTAAAAAAAAAAATAATGAAATGCATCATATGTAAATTGAAATGAGAACGTCGTTAACTAGGAATGCTGATTAGTAGTAACATAATATATAAATTGATCAATTATATTTCCATGCTCATTAGCTGAAATTGTTATCCGGTCACCTTGAATTGTGCAATATGTTCCTAATCTATTCCAGACTTTGGAAAATGAACAAGGATTTCATATTATTCAGTAATAATTCATGAAATTTCAAGCACTATATGTGGAAAAAGTAGCATTCGTAAGTCATACGGCAGTAACAAATATTCTTTTTTGAAATCACTTTGAAAACAATGGCAATCAGTATTGCCTAATAAACCCCCCCCCCCCAAAAACAACCCTCAAAGTCGACTGTGCTATTGACGCATTTATTTTTTTTTCAGGTACGTCAGTATATTGAAGTTCTCTACAGAATAAAAATTACGAGTCGGGTGAGTTCATGATTGTTATGTAAGTAATCGCAAACATGTGTACATTTTACGTTCTAAATAATTGAACAGAAGTGTTGATGTAAATTAAAAAGAAACCATCACAGTGAGTACCGATTGTTGAGTATTGCGAGAAAAACTAACCTAGTTGTTCCGTTTGATTCGGTCCAAGGTGGCCTTTGTTTGTTCTTTACTTCACAACAAATAGACCATTTCTAGTTTATCTTACGTAAAGTCAAACATTCAAAAAATGACGAATTGGGTGAAGCAAACCAGCTAGTTTTCTGATTCGTCAAAATTTGTTGTTATTGTTTAGATTAAAGTAATCACTATCGATCACAGCTACCTATGATGAAAAGTCGTGAATATTCCATTGAATATTTATAACCCTCTCGTAGATGCAGTGACTGCGAAAAATAGTAGGAATCTACTTTTTCATTATAGTTTGGGTCACAAGATGCTTTTTTTGGAACTTCTGTCCAAATGCACCGAAAATTATGATCCAGGGCTTATTCTGATATTTGCAAAAAACCAAACCCCCCATTTTTTTACTAAATCATTTATAATGTTTGCAATTTTTTCGTGCCCCTCTTGAATTTTTTTAAAAAGTTGCCAGAGGTCATCCCGAAATAATGAGCCCTGGATCATAATTTTCGGTGCCCTTGGATAGAAGTTCCAGAAAAGAATCTTGTGACCTAGACAATTAGACGATTCGACCAGATTAGGGATGAAACGGGTGGGATCCAGAACACCTCAGAATGAGAAACGGCGACAATTTCTCCTCTCATGAAAACATTGAATACCCACAAATCATTTCCCAACGATGTGAGTTGTAAAGCCAAGTTTTAACATGAACCGCAGATTGAAAAGAATCGGTTCATGTTTCTCTGTAGCTCCTGATGCCAGCAGGAAACTGAATACCAATACCAAAGCTCGAAAGTATTGAAAACATGATTGTTTCAGTACCAGAAAGCGATGTACGGATCTGCTTCGTCAGTTGTATTAGACCGGCTCTTCCATCGTTAAACGAGTATATCTTTGGATCTTCGAATGTAGCTACCTTTAGGTAGGTGAAAATAATGGGATGAACAGAAAAATAAATCATGAATATCAATGAAAAAAGCGGCTTCCAGAAGTTGCAGCTGGGGAGTACTAATGTAGTTTGACAGATTCATGAATGTTACCAGGTAGGGTCATGAATATATTGTTTGAACTCTTTTTTTTCCTTCAACAATGAACAGAAAATATATTTCAGGTTCAAAAAATCAGGTGAATGTCCAAATTTCGCGGGGGAATTACACTTGGTTAGCGATTTTTTAAATTTTTTTTATATTGGTCTCTGACATATGATCACAGTTTCAGCGGTTTAGCATGTTCAGTTTGTTGAAGGGAGGCAAACAAGTTAGAAGTGTTCGCATGAAGGAATACGATGAAAGTCTGTGTATGAAATGGAATTGTGTGGTCATGAACCCTTGGAATGTTGGCATACAGTGATTCTATTCTAAGTAAGAAACATGTTTACAAGTGGTACAAGCTATTCACAAGATGTCCAGACGCCCCAGCACATTAACAATCGATGAAAGGTTAAAATTTTGCTCACTGTTTTTTCTCGATTACCTCGATTCGAAAGAAAGATCTTCCTCTTGAAGATGATCACTTGGTGAGTGAAACACGAATCGAGGTGTTGAAAAAACGGTTTGGTGTTGAGAAAAAACTTCAGTAATATTCATTATTACACCAAATGTTCCAAACAGTGCATCACAAGACTTCGCAAATTTTTCACTCTCAGTGCGAACTACACGGAGAAAGAGAGTGGGAAATTGTTGTTGCTATTCGCATTCGTGCTGCGACTTTTATGTCGTTTTTGCAAAGGGAGAAGTATACTAAATCCTCATCCATTCGTTGTCGAAACAAAAATTAACGGCATGAACTTGGTTATTGTTCTTATGGAGGTACCAATCATACATTATTGAAACACCTGGTAGAATGAACGATAGTCAACCATTTCGACTAACGACAATATAGAGGGTTGATCATTTATTGAATAGTGCTGTATTTTTGTGAAATTCTGTGAACATGACCATGACTATTAACCCTTTACCGGTGACGTACGGTCTCACATTCCGACGAAACAAAAAGGGACCATTTATTTTCATTATGTTAGAGAGAGTGCGGTATTTCTCCTAGTACCTTCCTAGCTTATTATCGTTTTTTCAGTCTCCAAACGTCAGCTGATTAGTGAACATTTCTAGAACAGTAAACTCATATCGGTCTGTGGCACCGTCATTGAATTGAAACGCAAAAAGGTAGACCGACAACACCGATATCGTAAGTATATTTTTTATTATTAATTGCTAGTTTTCGTGAGCAAAAATTAGGTTATTTTGTTTGACAATCCTAAAAATAATAATCATATAAATTAGGTGATTTTTATTATTATGAGGCCGAACAAAAAAAGCTGCAGCAGTTGGTACAAGAGGTTTTGCCGGAGTCTGAAACAGAACAGGCCGATGATAGAAGTGATGATGACGAGTGAGACCATATTGAAAGAAGAGAAGATGATTCAAATACCGAGCAAAAACTTGAAGAAGAATCTTATGAGAAAGGAAATGTTATAGAAACAGAGCATCTGCGTAAATTATTTAACGGAACGACCAGATGAGTTATTGTACATCGATAAAGATAAAGTCACAAGATGGAAAAAGGACTGTCCCCCATTATCAAGCTCCAGAACAAGATCAAAGAATATTGTGACTCAGTTATGCGGAATAAAACAACCAACTACGGATCTAGTCGACCCCATAGAAATATCGCATGCATTTTTTGGCGTTTCTGTTCTTGAAATTATCGTGACGCATATATACTTATGCACATACAGAGTGGTCCAACGAAAAGTATGCACCTTGCTTTTCTCCATTTTTTGTAACTTAACGCAAAAATGCTCGAACATGTCAATTTTGATTTTGAGGGGGACACATTTTAGATGTATTTTTCTACCTATGCCTTCAATCCCCTAGCGAGGGTGAGTAACAACCCTAAAATTTTAAATGGAAGGTGGGGTCGATTGATATATCATTTGAAAGGGCACAAAATTATCTTTTCAATGATACCTATTTTGTTGTATTTACTTGAATAGTTATAAAACGGGACTGCTCGTTCGCTTATAGTCCGGAGCACGGTATAGTCTAGTGCCGCACAACACGAACCACCACACATTTTATAATTTTTTTTCAACATACTTTCATCTCTGCAATCACTATTTGGACTATATTTTTGTTTCGGACGTATAATGGTATATCCAAGTTTCATCTGCTGTAATTATTCGACGACAAAACTCGGATTTATTGCGCCTAATCTGCGTCAACAGAGCGTTGTAACACTTTCGAAAACGTTTTTAGTTTAACGGCAGCAAATGCGACACTCAACTCGCGGACAGTTTTCCATGCCTGAATGTTGATTCAATTTGTAACAAACACGTTCTTTTAACATGTTGAGAATCTCTGTTATCTCTTTGACTTTGATTCGACGCGGTCGTCTAGCACCATTTTCGGCAGCCATCTTGGTTTATCAAGTTTAATCAGGTTGGAGCCTGGTTCCCTCATCCTTTTGACTGGTAGCTGCAAGAAGAACAAACTAATCAAAACTGATCATGGGATGGCGGCATAAATGTCCTCAGACATCAGTACCGCCCTTCACGGTGGACCCCTGCCTGGCAGGGGGACATGAGGGCCTCATTCGACTGAGTGTCTGGGCCTTCTATATCGGAAGGGGTCGTCTATAGCATAATCTATAGCTTCCCTAACTAACAGATTTTCGTGAGTTTCCGCACCTTCAAAAACTCGCCAATTCCTCGACTTAATGGACTGCTGAATGGAAGGCAGCTGCAAATCTCTGCGGATGGCTCCGTTCCGTACGAATCACGGAGCATTCACAATCATCCGTATTGACTTGTTCTGCAATTTCTCCAGAATGGAGATATTAGATGGAGCCGCTTGTTCCCAGTCGCCTGAAGCATACATGATGACAGGCTTGAACATCGTTTTATAGATCGTAATTTTGTTCTTTAGGGTTTGTTTGGTGATTTTGGTGAGTAACTGTCAATAGATGAACAACGAACTTCACTAGCTTTCATTCTAGAGTCCTGCTATGTTCATTTTGAGATCGTTGAGTTTTTAGACCACCTTCCTATATCAATACCCTGAGTATTACTCCAATCATTTGTGAGAGCGTGACGAAATATGAGGTTTTCAGATATTGATTAAATCTCAAAAAAAATAGGTATAAATTGAAAACTCACCATTCTATTGGAATCCTATTAGCAAAACCAAAAATATGAGAGTTGAAACATACGAAGAAACTTTAGAAAAAAATGTATGTAGTGCCCTATTGATTTTCGGGAGCATTACCGTGCTTGCAGATTGTCGTGCAAAATCCACTGATTTTGAAATATTCCCTTCATATCTCCTTCCCCTTCAAAGAGATAACTATTTCGAAGTACCGTTTCAATTAGTAAACTCCAAAAATTCCTTTCAGTCTCAAAAGCTATTTCCAATACCTTCAAAATTTAATCTTATGCGTCACACCGTTCCTTCTGAATAAAAATTACTGAAAATTTCAATTAAGCAGAGATCATAACTTTTTGACACTCTTCATGGAAAGGCGAATAGTTGATTTATTGAATCCTGAAGTCAACTCAGGATTTTGTTTCTCCGAAAAGGTTGAGTAGACCGAGAGGAATTGTAACAAAAGAGGACATAGAGAACGCAAAAATAAACACTTTGGGAAATTCTCCTCCTGAGTATTCTTCACTTTTCCATTTATGATCCTAGTTGAAATCAGTTTCATCAATACTTTGGTGTAATTTCCATATGAGTTTACAGAAATAATTCTCTGGATTTTGAACAGTAGAATCAATGAAGTGATGAATTTCATTCGTTCGGACTTTCATTGTCTGATATTATATAAAATGATTTGAAATACCTGCTAATATAAGATATATTTCAAGCAGTAATTATCATAGCGGTTTCCCCAAGCATATATGAATCTCACGAAACAAAAGTTTTAGATTTTCCAATAAGAAACCTGAATCTCTCAATACATAATTTCACCGTAGATGAGAAATGCGATAATTATTATGTTATATGTTTAAATGTTATGTGTTTTTGTATATGTACATTTGTTATATGTGAGTGAATATCCAGTCTCCTATATCGTAATATATACTAGTTGATTGAATTAATTTTGTAGTCCATACATTGATGCTGTTAATTTTTTCCAGGTTTTGATTTTTTGCCTCTTTTTAGCTTATTAGCCATTTTTGGACAATTTTTCACTACGAGAAGCGTTGACTAAATATAGTCCAAAAAATCAACAACAGGCATTTGACATAGATAGTGTTGATGAACGCACTGTTCAAAGTTGGTTTGCAAAATTTCTTTCCGGAAATTTTAGCTCCGAAGTAGTCGAGCTACAGTAATCAGTCAAGGATATGAAGACCGTGGTGGAGATTGATCCATCACAAACAGTGTTTGTGATAGCGAAGAAACTGGGCGTTAGCTCCCATGCGGCTTTTGATGGTTCAAAACGTATTGGAGAGGTCAGAAAGGTCGAATAGTGGGTTTCCCAGCAGCAGCCAACACTGGTCAACAGAAGAGGTCAGATTCTCCTTCACGACAACGCCCGTCCGCACGGTTCGCAAGTCAACTGCTGAAAATTGAACGACACACCTCTGGCATCAAGCATTTGATAATTTCCTCGGTGATGGAGCTTTCGACAATTGGAACCAGGCAAAACGACCTTCGTAGACGTCATCGAATCCCGAGGAATCAATTTTCATGCTGACGGAATTGATCGACTTGTGTCACATTGATAAAAGTGCACTGTCCTTATCTATGATAAGAGAGGGGGTGACTCCTGGCAAATTTTTTCAAGATGGATACATTCTGAGACATTTTTAAATTCTTCATTATCTACATTATCTAACAATTTTCAGACTACAGCGAGAATGATCTACGTTGCCCAATGAGGCTACTTGCAGGTTATTTTCATATGAACTGTCGGAAGACAGTTTGGAAGATGATGAAATAGCAGAGCAGACTTTGTGCTCGCTGCGAACCGAATTGAGTTTACAGAATTTGGCTGAGTTCAAAAAAGCCGGAGTCACAATAAACCCTTGCGTGTCGTGGTGGAGGGTCAAATAGGTCCACTTGTTACGATTCAATTCAGCACTAGATCAAAACTGCTTCTATGTGACCTTTCAAAACACTACCTTACCTTTTAAGATCTTTATTCAAAGGATGTTAACAATGTAATTCAGTTACGAATTGATTTTATTCATTTAACATCATAGTAATGGGAATCTTCCGATCCATAGGAAACCATACCTGAAATGTGCAAGAATAAATGTATGCTCCCTGACTAACTGCCGTGACCTGGTTTCCCCAAGCATATATGAATCTCACGAAACAAAAGTTTTAGATTTTCCAATAAGAAACCTGAATCTCTCAATCCATAATTTCACCGTTGATGAGAAATGCGATAATTATAATGTTATATGTTCAATTGTTATGTGTTTATGTAGCTCTATATGTCAATAAATATCCAGTCTCCCATATCGTAATATATACTAGTTGACTGAATTAATTTTGTAGTCCATACATTGATGCTGTAAATTTTTTTCCAGGTTTTGACTTTTTGCCTCTTTTTAGCTTATTAGCCATTTTTGGACAATTTTTCACTACGAGAAACGCTGACTATAGTCCAAAAAATCAACAACAGGCATTCGACATAGATAGTGTTGATGAACGCACTGTTCCAAGTTGGTTTGCAAAATTTCTTTCCGGAAGTTTTAGCCCCGAAGTAGTCGAGCTACAGTAATTAGTCAAGAATATGAAGACCGTGGTGGAGATTGATCCATCACAAACGGTGCTTGGGATAGCGAAGAAACTGGGCGTTAGCTCCCATGCGGTTTTTGATGGTTCAAAACTTATTGGAAAGGTCAAAAAGCTTGAATAGCACGTTTCACAAGTCAACGGCCTTCGTAGACTTTATGGAACCCCGAGAACTCCATTTTCATGTTGACGGAATCAATAGATTTGTGTCACATTGATAAAAGTGCACTGTCCTTATCTATGATAAGAGAGGGAGTGACTCCTGGCAATTTTTTTTTCAAACTACATTATCTAACAATTTTCAGACTACAGCGGGAATGATCTACGTTGCCCAATGAGGCTACTTGCAGGTTATTTTCATATGAACTGTCGGAAGACAGTTTGGAAGATGATGAAATAGCAGAGCATACTTTGTGCTCGCTGCGAACTGAATTGAGTTTACAGAATTTGGCCGAGTTCAAAAAAGCCGGAGTCACAATAAACCCTTGCGTGTCCTGGTGAAGGGTCAAATAGGTCCATTTGTTACGTTTCAATTTAGAACTAGATCAAAACTGCTCCTATGTGACCTTTCAAAACACTACATTACTTTTTAAGATCTTTATTCAGAGGATGTTAACAATGTAATTCAGTTACAAGTTGATTTTATTCATTTAACATCATAGTAATGGGAATCTTCCGTTCCATAGGAAACCATACCTGAAATGTACAAGAATATATGTATGCTCCCTGACTAACTGCCGTGACCCGTACTTACCATTCACTTCGCATTCGACGTTGGAAATCCGAAATTCCTCGCTAGGTTGAAATAGTTGTATGTTGTATGTTTCTCAGTTTTCTTCACCTAACATTTTTCAGCCGTTGTCTGCCTTATTCTCTGTACCTTTCCAAGAATATTCATTGCATAGATTGTTATTCATCACTTCCAGAAGGTTTACTTACATATTAGAGCCATATCGCCTGGAAAACAATACTAGTTAGCTCTGGTTTCTGAATACTGTTTGATATTTTCGATAAATATTCTGCATAATATGAATGTTCAAATATTCGTACTGAATAGGAAAGATGTGACGACTTACCTTATATGTTTCTATTCCAGCGCATAAATAAGGATTGGTAAATAGTTGAAAATAAGTTGGAGTGAATATTTTTGTAAACATTCAAATACAAGGTTAAGAGACAGCTGTTGGTTGACATCTGCCGAACTTTCGTAGTGTCGTTCCAACGACCTACACCGAACTAGTTCTATAGGGATTGAGGGATTGATCGGTTACTCAAATTGTCAAGGGTTGTTTCAGGGTTGCATTGGTTTGAGAAGGAGTTTTGATGGGTCATGGACTTGTTGATGATGTCTCGAGTGGCTGTGGGGGAATTGATAGATTTATAATGTTGTGTACAACGCCCCCTTGGTGCTTGTAGCGTAGATTTGACACACTGTGGCAACAACTGGATAGCTGTCAGATGTGGCAGTCTCTGGGATTTCGGTGTTGACCTTCGTTGAGCTTAGTTAAGAGTTCAAGGGTACGATCTGACTGATTTGTAGGATATATATATGGTTGTATTTGTGCCATCCTTCACGGGGATTATTTCTACAAGTCAGGATTGTATAGTGAAAGACTGATTGGTCATTTTGGTGTGGATATTTGCAGTCTGGTGTGGTGGTGTGGTGTGATGGTATTTCCTGTTTGATATAGTGATTCTCTTTCTGGCTGAATCCACTGCTTGTTGACAACGTATTTGGTTTCATTTGTAAAACGCAAATTGAGGTGTTTTCTTCCTTTCACAATTGTTTGTTGACACCGATGCGCCTACGCCTGAGCTCACGCGACGCAAACGAGATTGTCTTACCTTTGTTTGGATCACTACATACATATATCATCAGCTCCACTATTTTTTCAGTCAGTGGTTATAAGAATATACCTATTTTGGATTCTCTTTTATGAGTTTCTGCTATCACCACGATAATAATGGCATACCTAAGTACAACTGATTAGAAAAGAGAATAATTATCTTGTATTACCATTGATGTGGTATTTATTTATCATAATACAACAATTACTTCTCTCAGTTCACACGGAAAGGTAATGACGGACCATACCAAAATTTCCGATAGGCAGTTGGAGGTTTTGTACGAACCTATCAATTTTGAAGAAAGTAGGAAAACTTGTGATACTAAGAAGAGGAGAGACACTGGATTTCTATACTTCACTTTACTCTCAGGTAACTTTTTAATAGACTGTCAACAGTTGTTTATGTTTTCAGACCAATTTCAGAAACTTCAGAACATTTTATGGTTGAATGGGCAATTTTATAATTGAAATATTGAACCGAAGTAATTTTTTGTGGAGAAAATCAAATATTCACATCTACTCCCCTTTTTAATTTTCACCAACAGATGAGGTTGACAGAATGGTTAAGACTTTCGGGACCGAGCATTTCATCACTATTTTCCGGGTTTGAACGCCGTGGATCTTTGTAATTTCTTCCTGACGTTTCGATGGCACGACTAGCTAGCTTCTCAGAGGTTCATACATCCTCAGTCAATATCTCTCATCCATAGAAGAAGGAAATAATGAGAGCAGATAGTTGTTGGTTCACAGATGGATCAAAAACACCTTCTGGTTCTAGTGCAGGTGTTTTTAGTCGAATACCCAGGAAAGAGATATCTACCTGCCTAGGAACTTATGCGACCGTATTTCAAATTTACGCTATTGAATTGTGTGCGGAGAGATTGTTAGCTTTTGGCTCCTACCGAGCAATGTCTAAATTAGTAGCAAGTTGCTAAAAACGACTCTCCTCGATAGGAAGACTTAACAGATTGTCTCCGGTCTGGATTCCTGGCCATACTGGCCTGGAAGGCAATGAAGCTGCTGACTCCCTTGTAAAGGAGGGTGCTGCCAGCAGCTTCATCTGACCAGAACCTGTCATTGACATCGCTTTAGGCTTTGTCAAACAAACATTCAACCCCTGGATGGCAAGAAGATTCATGGACTTCTGGCAGAATCTTCCAGAATTGGCTCACTCCAGAGACTTGGACTGTTGAAAGATAGTGTATGTAGCCTCGGTTTGGAAAATGATGAAATAGCAGAGCATATACTTCATGCCCGCTGGGGACCGAGTCAGGTATTGGAGTTCAGCAGAGCCGTACTCTCACCATCTGACCTGAAAGACAACTCACCATACAAACTAATTGGCTTCATTGAGAAGCTGGGTTTATTTGGCCGAGTGTGAATAAGTGTGAGCCACAATAAACCCTTGCGGGTTGCGGTGGAGGTTCGAATAGTCCCACGCAGCCGTAATATCCAGTCATCGGAGATATCAACTCAGAATGTATAAACCTCTGAGGAAGCTAATAACTCGCACCAGGCAGCGACACGTCAGGAAGAAATTACAAAAATCCATGGCATCCAAGTAGTTTGTTTCAATAGAGAAAATCTGCTGACCTATTCCATTTTTGAGTTGAAGTTTGATGTTGTCAAAGTACAGTATGGAAGATCACCTACTATTTTAGAACTCGGAAGCAAGTCTAGGAAAAAAAATTGGGGGTTGGTGGGTTTTTAAAGGAAATTTGTCGGTTTTTCAGTACTTTTGTGGGTAACACTGGAGAAAAACTATAAACAGTTCTCGAGTCGACAGATATTACATAAATCGTGAAAGTACTGGTGATAGAATATGAAATGAAACCAAACAAAGGAAGAAGTCAACAGAGGATTCAAAGGAATTAAATGGGAGATTATTCAAGACGTAGAAGCAATTCATTAGAGCCAGTTCATATATTCAATAGAGAAATATCACCTATTAAAAGCTCCAAAACTTCCATATTTCATCAACCAGTAATAACGCACAACCTTTTTGGGTTGTGCATTGATGACAGCTCAGAAAAGTTTTTAATTATCGTGTCTCGTGTTTACGCCTTTGATTGAAGGTCTTCAATGATAATCTCTGGTTTTTTCTCAACAGATTCCAGTTGAGATGCAAGACGATTGTTTGAAACATAGGCGACAAATTTTCAATTTCACTATCACCAATAGGTGTCACTACATACACTGCATTGTCATTAGTAGTGGGCTAATGCCAGTTCTTGTCCTTGCCCCAACACTTGACTTTGAACACAATGACGTCACACGACCTTAGGTCACATTAGTCAAATTTATTGTTGGACAGCTCACATACTGATGATACAAGTCATAAGATGGTTGATGGTGTATGGTTGCAACAGTCGGATTGCGCAAGTTTGAATGCTTCTACGAAGTCTTTATGTGTCAGACTGGTGCATCTAATTATATGAGTCAATTGAAAAAACAGATTTCAACTCACAGACAAAGTAGAGAATGTGGAGAAGGAAGAAAATGTAGCGTTGAATACTGGCGTTGTTAATATATGTAATATGTTGTTTATATTTTATAAGAATTATTCTAGTTGAAAAGTTCACTTTGCACTATTGATTTTGAAAATATAGGAATCGCCTGACTTTGTGAATAGATAATAAGGTTTCTAGTTCTCCGAATATATATTTTGTGTTCATCATTTTATTTTTCAGCGAACTTGGCGATGTTTTCCAATGGCAGCTATCTGGTTTGGACTTCTCCTGTCATCCCTCAGCTCAAATCGAATGATTCGGACATCAATCCTTTAGGAGAAGCCATAACAACTGGACAGATCTCTATGCTAGTTGGACTGCCTTTTTTCTCTGGAATGTTGGCCCCATTGCTCCTTGGTAAACTCCCTGACATAATTGGAAGGAAGAATACTTTGTTATGCATATCCGCAGGTGCTCTGATCGCTCACATAGCAGTTGCTTTTGGAAGACATATTTACGTCTACTATGTAGGAAAAGCAATTATAGGGTTAACCTTCGGATTACTTTTCGTAGTTCAACCAATGTATACGAATGAAATATGTGAAAAACATAACAGGGCGAAACACGGGTGTTTGACAATGTTCTTTGTCCCGTTGGGCAGTGTATATAGTTTTCTTCTAGGTCCGCTGACTTCTGTGCGATCCTTCACTCTCCTATGTGCTCTTCCTCTCGTTATTCACCTGATATTAGTTTATTCACTGGTCCCTGAATCACCCTACTATACAGCTTCCAGGAATAGGAGGGAGGCAACCATACAGATATTGGAAAAGTTACGGAGTGATAAAAGCCCCGCAGAGATCGAAAAAGACTATACAGAAATCGAAGCGACACTGGGAACTCGAAGAACTCGAAAAGTTCTTTCAGGAGAACTTTTCTCGTCACCCCTGTTGAGAAAAGGGTTTATCGTCGGTTTGGGGACGTGCACGTCAACTTATGTAACAGGAGTGCAAGTACTAATGGCATTCATGGCACCTTTATTCAATGATGCCAATACAAACTTATCAGGAAACACAATCGCCCTTTTAGTAGGAATAACAAAGTTATCTTTTTATTTAATAGCGGCCTTCATCGTTGGAAAACTCGGTAGAAGGCCTCTGTTACTGTTTTCGTCCTTTGGTACGGGAATTTGCCTGGCAATCATTGCTTTGTATTTCTATCTGAAACAGATCAACCCATCCCTTGTAGAAAGTTTCAGATGGTTACCAATACTGAGTATCGTGTTTTATATATCTTGTTATTCCTTGGGTGTTGGTCCACTTCCTATAAGTATTCTCAGTGAGTTATTTCCAAGTGATCTGAGATCGACTGCCACTTCTTTGGCATCGACCATATTATCTATATTTTTATTTATAATAGTCACTTTGTATCCTATTTTATCAGAATCATTAGGAGTACACTGCTGTCTTGGAATATTCAGTGTAGGCTGTTTTTTGAGTTTCACCTTCATGTTTTTGTTGTTACCTGAAACGAAAGGTAAAAGTTTTTCAGAAATTCAAGAAATATTGAGTCGATGAGATCCTATTTCAACATATTCTCTATATTTCTGACATATAAAGTATTCAATCTTGAATTGTGGACCATATAATTGACAGTGCCTGCAATAAACTTGAAAGAATGTTGCCATGAATTCACGGTACCCACCATAGTTCATAGTAGTGAAAATATAAAAACCATTTGCAAGAAGAAAGCAGCATTTGAAAACTATAGAAAGATAAGTTTTGGATTTCTACTTCTCCATCTTCGTCAAAATAAACAGTTCAATTGGAAAAAAGTCATAGTTATGTAGATATTTTACTAAAAACTAAAAAATCTCTATACCCATCACGCGACTGCGGTAGACTAAGGTGTTGAAGACACCATCCTGGCAAGCTATGATGAACCCCTCGGTTTCCGACTTCAGCCCACTCGACCTGATGAAAGCAAAAGTCAGGCGCTTTGATAAGCCAAGGTCTCCAATGTTATTGACGAAGACCCCATGCATTGGCTTATCCTTGTGTTTCCGCAGAAGTGAGGTGATCTCTGCGGCTTTTATATATTTTGTTTAGTTGGTCGATCAGTGGAACTTTATGCCGAATGAAATTTGTGGATTGTTAAGGGAACAATTCTGATTTTTCAAAGTGCCATTTTATGACGTTATTGGACAGTAAATGGCGCCATATTTCAACTGACATTATTCATAATAAAGAAACAGTACAAGCACACACATTTCTCTAAAAACTGGTGAAAACTTCATACATTTATTATGAGTCTATCAGAATTTTGAGTCACTTTAAGATCGATTTAAAATCAATAATGATTTATGAGATATGTTTTTAAAAAATGTTTAAAATATGTTTTTTTCCGTTAACCAGAAGTCGAAACCTGTGCGAGCTAAGGAGTAACGAGGTCTTATTTTTCAAGGTGTGATTTCTAACACGGGTTGGACAATAGCAAGTGAAAATCGATCGTTCAGACTAGGGCTTGAACCACCGACCAACACGGCGGTCAATTCGAGTGAGTGAACAAAGCACCCACGTCGAACCTCCCGACCGACCGATGTATACTATAAGCACATAAGTAAAATTCTTTTCCTCTGTTTCACAACATTGGATACATGAAAATAAGTCTGAAGAGTATCGACGAGAGATATGTACTAGGAAATAAATATTTTGAAATAAAATCTCGAAATATTCAACTTTTTCTTGTCTACTGTATTACACGATGTATCTAATATGATTACTAAAATTATTTTATTGTCATCATTATTATTGCGAATGTATTTCAAAATAAACACTCTTACAAAGCTGAATGCTTGTCTACTGTATTACACGATGTATCTAATATGATTACTAAAATTATTTTATTGTCATCATCATTATTGCGAATGTATTTCAAAATAAACACTCTTACAAAGCTGAATGCTTGTCTACTGTANTAAATAGCGATCTCTGTATCAAACTTGAAGTCAAATATAGTAATGTGTCTTTTACCGATTTAAGAGAAATATCTGAGGCTTCCAAAAGAATAAAAAAAAATATAAAAAATGAATAGATTGTAGGACCTGAATAGATTTCTAGCTTTTGCTGAAGGATTGCTTTTCTGTTTCACTTCAACTTCTGAAACATATATTCAACCTTAACCTCACAAGCAGAAAAAAAATCTGTTTGGAAAAAAATCTGTTTAAAATATGTTTTTCCGTTATTCAGCTGCCGCCCCCATACGAACGATAAGTCTCAGAAGTTGAGAAACTTGTGCGAGCTAAGGACTAACGAGGTCTTACCTTTTAACGTGTGATTCCTAACACGGCCAAGGAATCTCAATTTCAAGAAATATTTCTGAATTATTTGGGATTTTTTTATACGCATCAATTCATAATTTGACTAAAAACATAATATCTGGGGAACAACATTGTTTTCAGATAGAGAATCTTGTTGAAAAAGGGCTCAGGTGGATATAACATACTTGGATGATCAAATTGACATAATTATCCTTTCGAAGAAGTTGAGTGCTTTTGATATCTTTGAAAAATGAGTGAAATTGTTTGAGTCGGATCTATTTGATCGCAAGCAGTGTGTTGAAGACAAATTATATCTTTCTTCCATTATCAGAGCTATATAGACAGTGAAAAAATGAAATGTTACAACATGGTGGATATAATAATAATAACAATGATATTCATTCACCATTTGGAATAATACAGTGAGAAATACAATGGACAAAATGTACCGAATAAATCAGGTCAGACCCACGAAATGGAGATTTCTACTTTGTGTGACATACTAGAGAATTACAAATAAAAATAAAATACAAGTAACACTACAAATATGACTATATAAATTAACAATGAAAATGTGTAACAATTTGAAATGAAAAATTTATGGAATCAGTTTACTAGTGATCCAATTGAAGAGAAATAAAAAACATTTCAACAGATAAACTTCCGAGACAACACCAACACAAAACAACATGAAACATGGTGTTGTTATGAAACATGTCGTGTTGTGTTGATGTTATCTCGAAAGTTCATCTGTTGCAATGTTAATCACTTTTTTAATATACAGTGTGACCCATTTTTAATGGAAACACCCCCCTAAAATTTGAAGTTGTAAACCAATTTCAATTTTTTTTTTTGAAATGTCAAGTACTGAAAGGTCTATCTTGGGACAAAACTTGAAATGTTCATTAAAGTTTCAGGGCATACTACGATATTTTTTCTTAGTTGAAAATCGGGATTTTTCATTAGCGATTTTTTATTGAAAAAAATCACTACGCCACTGNTGTGTCTTATTTCAACCGGCATATTGTCCACTATATCACTGATCTCAGTATTTAGAAATTGCAAATAATCCTGAGAAGTTAAATTGTGTCTAAAAAAGAATGGTCCCATTACCTGATTATTTAAAACACCGCACCACACATTTGTTTTAAATGAATATTGGTCCCGACATTCTATCACAAAATGAGGATTTTCCTGAGCCCACCACCTACAATTCTGGGAACTGACTACGATGTGGGGTTGTCATAACTTTGTTGATAATCAATATTTTCCATGAAATTTCGGTCACACCTATTTAGAGGCACTCTGAATCCAGTGGCGTAGTGATTTTTTCAATAAAAAAAGTCGCTAATAAAAAATCCCGATTTTCGACTAAGAAAAAATATCGTAGTATGCCCTGAAACTTCAATGAACATTTCAAATTTTGTTCCAAGGTAGACCTTTCAGTACTTGACATTTACAAAAAAATTATCAAAATCGATTTACAACTTCATATTTCAGGGAGGTGTTTCCATTAAAAATGGGTCACACTGTATATCTAAAATGTCTGACGGTTTTTGAAATAGCGATATTGTCAACTCGAAGAAACTACGTTTCGAGCCCTGAAGAAAAATTTATTCAAATTCGAAACGCCGACAGGAAACCAATTGTTTTTTTAAAGAAAAAATTGATTTTGCTACCCAACTATACTATAAATAATATAAGATACAATGTGACTCAATATGAGAAATAAAACATGAAGTAATACAAAGATATTGATTAGTATATGTGAACATACATTTCAAACTAATAGATGAAGCACTGAATGAAATCGAGAGATGAAATTATAAAATAAAATTATGAAGGTAAATATAAATAGTCCAGCAGTATCAACAGTTGTGGATTAAAATCATGAGCATTTGTGACCTATATGTTCTCAATTATATTTTTTATTTATTTCAATGGTGTGTTTTTCAATAAGATTTTTATTTTTATTCCAAAATTCAACTCTCTAATCAGAGATTTCTGACTCAGCATATAAAAGGTCACTAGGGTAGTCAAAGATTTTTTCAGGAGACATCTGAGGAAGCGTTTTTGAATTATTTCTAGAGCATTGAGGTAAGTTTTGGAAACTCCACCTCAACCAATCATTCCATGATTTATATGGGATTCTGCCAGAATCTTCTAGAGTGTTTGCTTTGTGTCACGGTCGGTAACTTTTTTGAATTTATAAAACACTACAATATCCAAATAATGTATAAAATAAAAAAATATACAATGTCCCAATACAAAAAGAATAGTTTGGCTCCAGAATCTCATCCCATGGTTTGCATTTGGCACCGTCCTTACTCATCAAGTGATTATGCACGGAATACGTTTTCTCTAGTGATGCAGATGCAGATGTATGCATGCACATTATTTTGGTATATCAGTATAATACTGGTTTGAAATTATGTAAACATATATGAATGGGTTGCTTGGAATTCAGTTCTTGTTAGAATGAAAACATCGTTGTAGCGAGGAATGCTGATAACCACAGGACACATCAATCAATCAATTAACATTTCCATGCTCATTAAATATAATTGTTATCCGGTCACCTTGGATTGTGCAATATGTCCTGATATATTCTAGACTTTGGAAAATGAATGATTTCTCAGATATTTGTATTTACTTATACACGAGTATTCCCAGCTCGACTATAAATGTAAATAAATTCCAGGAACTGCAATAATAAAGATGTGTTTAGCGTTAATTTTTCTGAAATGAAACAAAGCAGTACTAATGTTTGAATTGAAATGGGTATATTTTTAGTAGAGATTAATTTCTGGGAAAGAAGATTGATAATTAAACAATTCTCACAAATTTTGTTGGTGAACATTCTTCAATTATTATCATCATTTTATTAATTTTCATCAAGTAAAATGTCATTTGACTCATAACACTAGTTTACGACTGTAATGCCATAGGCAGTTCTTTGGTAATTTTTGGTCCCTAAATGCGAAAATGATATTAAAAATTTCCTATCATTTTTCAGTCATGATTTCTTCACAAAAATTTTATGAAAAAGATATTCCAAATTTGCTTTTTCCTTAAATTGAGGAAATTGTTTAAAATCTTGCCACACAGCATCTAATAGTATATTATGCAACGATCCATGTAATGATGGTTATTAAGACACGAGCATTAACCGGGATACGAAACGAGCCGAAGGCAAGTTTTGTATGGTTTATGCGAGTGTATTAATAACCATTACATGAGAGTTGCATACGCTATTTTTTCTAAACCCGATAAATAATGAAAAACTATAAATATTATATTTGTATTGAACACATTTACAGTAATTAACTCATATTTTNAATTGTAATCAATTAGGATCGTATATATGTTTCTGTTTAAAAAATCTGTTTTTCCGTTATTCAGCTGTCGCCCCCATACGAACGATAACTCTCAGAAGTTGAGAAACTTGTGCGAGCTAAGGACTAACGAGGTCTTACCTTTTAACGTGTGATTCCTAACACGGCCAAGGAATCTCAATTTCATGCAATTTCTCTGAATTATTTGGAATT